CCGGGCACAGCAGAGCCCGGGATCAGCGCGACGATGGCGGGGGGTGGCCGCGGAGGGGGGGGGGGAACCGATCGGCACCCCATACACGCGATCCGCTGGCTCCACAGCCGGCGGATCGCTTGTATGGTAACAGGCACCGCTGCCTGTTTTTATATTTCGGCCGATTTCCGCACGCGCGAGGGGGCGTGTCTGAGCGGACGTCTAAAGACGCGCGCTCAGATCTAGAGAGCTCCGGGCCAGCCGTTTTTTTACTACGGCCGGCCCGGAAGTGGTTAATTTAGTTGTTAAAGGAGAACTATGGGGTCAGGGCTTTTCCCCATAGTTCTCCTTAGGGTAACGGGAGGACTAACGATGTCGAGATCCGCCCAGCTGCTTGAGTGACAGCTGGCTCTGCCTATCTAGAGGCAGAGCCAGCTGTACCCGCCCCTCCCCCATCCGTTCCTCCAGTCAGCGCTGGCGGATCGGAGCGGGGAGGGGGGAATCCAGCCCCTCCCATGTCACGGCAGAGAGCAGTGACAGGATAGAGAGGTGAGCGAACGCCAGTATATGTTCGCTCACCTCCCGATCTACTGAGCCGACCTGTGACAGTCTCATTGTCACAGGTCGGCTAGAACTTCTCCTTTAAACGCTGCCATATCTGCTAAGAGAGAGTATCTATCCCTTCTCTGACTGATTCTGGTCTATCGTTAGCACAAGAGCTGCTTTCCGAGACATAAGGTCCTGTTCTTGCTCAAAGCTCCATCTGCTCCATGCAGGTGTTAAATATTAATCTTTTATATTTACCAGATTTAAATAAAGCTATACAAATAATGATGAAGCTTCTTTTTATAAAAACCTTCCTGCCAGCTCACACGGGCCCCCTTTAAGAGTATTTTAAAGTGGAACTAGACCACTAATTTAATGGTCTAGCAAAACAAAATTTTAAGGCATGCCAACTGTCAAGGTTACCAGTGTGCTTATTTCAGCTCTCAACCAAACCTTCGAACCTTCAAATGGCTAGTGTCATAGCTGATCACATGTGCAGCACCATGGCAACTGCAATCCAATTAGGCCAAGATGGCTCCTTCCTTGGCTGTAAAGTATAAGAGGTTGTAGCTCTGCTTTAACACTGTAGAAGTTTCTTGGGCTTCCTGTTCATGTGATTGGCTGTCACAGTGATCATGTGATTAGGAGCCCATTCTACGGTTCCCAATGGTTTTTATGTGACCAGGAGCTGTTGGTGATAATGTGATCACATTGCTGGGTGTGTGCAATTGAGCATGCTCTCAGCACAAAAAAGGTATACGTATGTGGCAACATGGAACAAGGCCCAGCTTCCTGCTATCACAGATGTGTTTACAGCCAGTAAGAAGGGGTTAAGCAACTTGAGATAAAAAAAAAATACAACTAAACAGTTCTTTAAATGAACTGTATATTTTCCTCTGAAACCCACAGGACACATGTGTTTTATGCAAAGTGTAAAGAGTTGGCTTATTCCTCTGGGTGTCTCCGTTCTCTTATGCATACGCTATGAAAAGCGATAACAATAGGTTTTCAAGTTAAAAATAACCACAATGGTGCCTTAGAGCGAGCTGCCGCAAATTACAGTGGAATATTTTCTTTCTAGCGATAGCTTCATAATGCTGTAAGCTTACCGTTCAAATAACAACCTACAAATGCACGCAGATTAAATAAAAATGTGGGCTATTTCCATGCAGCTGAACAGCTTTGAAAAATGATCTTCATTGCAGCAGAAATGCATAAACAAACAGTCAGTGAGCACAAGTGCAAGTCTGATCTGATATTCTCCAAGCAGTAATAGAAAAAAGCTGGTCTTAGAAGTAATACTCACACAGAATTGAATAGATAAGCTCGACCTTGACTCCCTTGAAATGACTGCAAAATCAAAAGGAAAAAACAGTTTAATAAAAAACAAAAAATACAACTTTGTGTATTTTTACAGAAGATAAGTAACTATTTTTCATTAGGTACCATCAAGATAATTAGACTAGTTTTAGTCTATTTTTACTGTCAAGAGAAGTCTAGTTAGAAATGTAATCGCTTATCTTGAAAGGCACTCATCACTGAACTGAGTTCATTTGGAAACCATGGAAAATATCTTAAAGTGACACTAAACTCAGGAGTTAAATCTTAAAAATACATTCAAGTACCTTAAAAGGAGAACTATGGGGTTCTATCTTTTTTTAATTAATGCATTCCTTAGGCTAAGTAAATAATGTAATTTACTCTAATTAGCCAAAATGCACAGTAAGGCTGTAAAACCTTATTTAAGGTGGTGGGCGGGGCTAAGCGCCGCAATGAGAAGACATCCCGACGTATCCGACAGGATCCTCCCCACTGATGACTGACAGTGATTCTTGAGAGCTGCTGCGCGTCCACGAATATATGGACATGCGCAGCAGCTCTCTCCTTACCTGCACGTCCCCGTGTGCCAGCTCCTTCCCCTCTCTCTCTCTCTCTCTCCTGGCTGACACTGACATACTAAAATGATCGTGGATCGCTGATGACAGAGGGGAAGGAGCCCTCTCTCTCTCTTCAGCATTTACTACAAATGGGAAAGTCCATATATGGTAAATGATGTCACTGGAGACAGTGGCGTAACAACCGGGGGTGCAGCGGGGGTAAAAAAAAATTCTGCCCCGGGCGCCCAGAACTCTGGTTACGCTACTGACTGGAGATCCCTGCAGATCGGATGCTTGCCAGTATATGGACTTTCCCATTTGTAGTAAATGCTGAAGAGAGAGAGAGGGCTCCTTCCCCTCTCTCATCAGCGATCGAGTGAATTGAGGATGTCAGCGTCACACAGGGCAGGGAGAGAGAGAGGGGAAGGAGCCTGCGTGCACGAGCTGACAAAACACAGCTGTGCACGATGAGAGGAAGCGCGGCCACAGCAATGAGATCATTTGAAAAAAAAGCCGTGGGCGGGCTGGATCAAATGTTAACGCCCCCTAAGAGGAAAGGAGCTTGGAGCATGGGTGAAGACGGCCATTTACTACAGGTTTTGAGGGTTTTATCTGTGATGTGCTGCGAATTTAGAAAAAAGAACGATGCTACTACAATCAAGGTAAGGGGTATTTTTATTTGCCCTTAAGTCATAGTTCTCCTTTAACTATTGACAAAACTGCATCCTATTTGTGCATCACTCGGCTGTTGATCCTCAAATCATCTCTGAATTGGTGCCGACACTGTCCTTCCTTCTAGAGGGTGGCTACTTTTGTTCTTCATGGTCCCTGTATGTGTTGTAAAGTAGCCACTGCTCCAAGCTCACTCACGTGATGGACTACAATCTCACGTTTAGTTAAGTAATTTGGATTGAGATTGTAATCCATAACAGGAATGAGTTTGGAGTGGTGGATACTTTACAACACACACAGGGACCATGGGGAACAAAAGTAGCCACCGTCCAGCAGGAAGGACAATGTCAGCACCAATTCAGAGATGATTTGAGGATCTACAGCTGAGTGATACACATATAAAATACATTTTTGTTGATAGTTAAGGTAATTGAATGTATTTAGTAAGATTTAACTCCTGAGTTTAGTGTCACTTTAAGGTTCGGCAATCCTAGATATCATGTTCTCAACCCCCAAATTGTAATATCTTTCTACTATCCATTTAAAATATAGTCTAGAAGCCCCTACAGGTCTCTCATCAACCCACCTCTTTTTGCTCTCTTTTCCTCCATCTCCTTCATCTCTATTACTTTTCCTTTCTTCTGATAATCGTCCCCCGAGCATCCTTAACTCCACAATTACAACCCACTATACGTGCATGCAAACCAAAAGAACCTCCCCAACTTTAGTGTAGCTTACATTCATCTGTATAGAAATGTCACACCATGCATATCCTTTTATAGTTCACCAGATCATTTACTCCAACATTTACAGCTTACTCTACACTATTCTCCCTTACAATAATGCTAATGGATCATATTAATTTCTATTGCCTGCATGGGTGCATAACAAATCCTGTAACCTGGACTGTTAATGGCTATATACACACAAAAACTTGCAATCAGTAGCATCTGGGCATGTCCACTCTTAGCTTAAACTATATGGGCGCCGTTGTTTGTGTTGTTCACAGTGTGCACAGATAATAGTCTTTATTGCCAGCAGATATACTGGTGGTATTGTAGACAAGAAACCGACATGGGACAGTATCTGCTCCATCAGTAATTGTATTTATATACACAATGCAAACACCTGTAATTAGCTTAAAACGTAAATATTTCTAATTTTCTAATGCTTATTTTTTATCTTGAAAGGGCTTTTAAAAAGTCATACCGCATTAATCTGTGCATGCCAATATATCTGGTGCCCTCTGCATGGGTGTCTGCGGGGGGGAAGGGGGCCAAGGCAGATAAGCGACACATCTCAGATGAAAAAAAAAAGCAGAATACTGCAACTATACTGACACCGTGGTTGCACAATGGATGTCCATCTGATTGAGGTTTATCTAACAAAGGAGTGCATACTCTACTGGCCAGCCCAAAGGTGATGTTTCAGGTTGTGTGATAGCCACATAGGATTAAATAGCGCTGTTGGGATGGTCACAAAAAAAAGTGCTTCTCAGCATGCCCTGAATAAATTAGGTTTGTTGCAAAACTGCACAACTCCACTGCTATTCATTGTGCCCATAAGGTGTCACTGTGGCATGCAGTCCCTCCATCCCTTCTTGTGGTGCATCTGGAGGCTATACTATGCCTCCCCTGCAGTGCAACTCCAAGACATATCTCATCACAAACCATATTTCTCTGTAGGGAAAATAAAAAAATAAATTATATAAAAATCGCAGCTACAGTAGGTATGGTAACATGTAACCAACATGTATCCTCTATCATTTTTGTCTTCCGCACTGAAGGGGATATTCTGTGCTCTTGTCTTTACAGGTGCCTTTGGCTACAAAAATACCTACAAGAGAAACAAATGTACACAAGGCAACTGCTGAAACCGGGCAGGCAAATGTAAGGCAATTACCAACCCCTACTAAAACAACATAGATCCAGTGGATGATCTTGTTTTGCTTTCATATGACTATAGGTTTTATCAATGCACATAGAATGTGTGTAATTCTGTTAGGCTAGAACATTTCTCATTGTTATCTTTAAATCTGTCCGTAATGCTAAACAATCACTTTTTTATGTCCAGATACCCCACGTTATCAACTCAACAACTCGCCTGCAATATATGTCTTTCTATTGGACAGTATTAGGCTACATTTACTAAGATTTAGTACATATTCTATTGGCCATAATGATCACTATTCTCAGCACTAGGCCATTTCAAATGCTGATGAAATCACTTACAATGGATACTGCTCCTTGATGTTTAAAAGTTTTAGCTTCCTGCAGAATCAGCTAGTCTCCTGAGTCTGGTCCTGTTTTAGCGTGGCTCCTGTCTCTTGCAGGGTCCAATGGAGCCACCCTTGTTTGTAATAGCAAGCTGTGTATCTCCACAAACAGAGCAAGGCATACCTCTTCCCTCCCCCCCTCTCCTCCAAGCTAGTAGATAGCTGCTCTAGACTGCTCTGTCCCTTGTGATCTTGTCCTGGTACAGGAAGTTCAGGGAAGCCAAGCTAAGAGAGATGAAAACAGCTGTTCAGAAACATGATGATGAAGTGCTTTACCAGTCAGATGCATCAAAAGGTCTTATACAGAAAATCCTAGAGCTAAATCGAATAGATCTATTTTTCATTTTGCTACCTCTATGCAACATCAGAGAATATACACAAACATCTGAACTGGTCTTGTGTTTTAAATCCAATGACCTATTATATTGCTTGTGCCTACTCAGACAGATTAACAGTAGGAAAGAGTGTATGTGCCCTTGCAATAAACCTTGTATAGTCTAATCTGCCTACAAAGCTCAGTGGCACGATCCATTCTATTAATTATGAATGACAAGTGTGTTAGCAATTGTTTTTTCAGGTTACAGTGACGCAGAGAAAAACAAAATCTTTCTATTTTTGTAGGCTAATACGTGCTACAGGCCCTGTAAAACCTCCGACAGGCCATTTACCCATTTAAGAAGATCAGGGAGTGTTATCTGCGAGAGCATCATGACAGCGCACAATGAGATTGTACAAGCTAACGGTGAGTTACTATATCATGTACAGAAGCTAATTTACGTGGAGTTTTAATGGTAGACCCTTCAAGAACAATTAATTTTGTATTTTATTTTTTTAAAGTGAGTATACGCTGTATAAAAGAGCACATACAGAACATAATAGTTTGTGTGTAGCAGTTGCCAGAGAGCTTGCTTCCTCCTTGGTCTCTTCCAGGGCCCAACAGCACTTGTCAATATTGTGATAGTACAACATATGGTAGTCAGTTTGAGTATCCATAAAGCTTAGTTGAAACAGACAGCTGAGGAGAGGTAAAAACAGGCAGGTGATCCATGGTTTTACAGCTCCCCAGCCGCACGCTGCACTTTTAGCAAGTGCTGTATACATTGCCACGGACGCAATGCTTTGCAGCAAAGAAAAAGAAACAGCATGTGTCAAACGCAATCTTGGGGGTGAAAGGGACCACGCCACAACGGCATGCCAAATGTTTGGCACATGGTTGCTGTTCAATAAATTGTTCCCTTTAGGATCCAAAAATATACCAGCATTGGAATATTGCCAATATTGGTATGGGTATGATGGGCAGCCGCTACTCTACTACTCTGTGAAAAGCAATCCACCACATATCGCTTTCAGAGAGGTGGAGGCTGCCATCTGTCCAAATGAGGCCTAAGAATTGAATGTGCAAGTGGATATTGCAAAGTGAAGATTGTCAATGACCTACTATATTGAAAGAAAGCACAACTGGTCTGTTGAACTGGAATTTTTCCAATTTTTAAGTAAAAAAAAGGATAAAGTCTGCTTAGGGCTTC